CACAAGAAAGTTGTTCTTCAAGCTCTGTTCGGCTAGGAGGGTATTGATTAGCTAGAGAATTTCCAAGTTTATTACCATTATCCAGATCTTTTAAGATATGGATCTGGGACATTTTATTAGTATATTTTTTTTTAGAGGAAAAAAAAATCTCATATTTTTGGACTTGAAAGTGAGATATTTTAGGTGAAAAGCATTGAACTATCTATTAATGCCTATTGATACACATTGATGAGAATTAAAATATATTGATATTTATTAAAAGGTATTAATATGTATTGATGTATACTGAAAAATATTGAAATATATTGGAGAGTATCGACTTATATTGAAGAGTATTGATATATACATATTAATATATATCAATATTTATTGAAAAAACATTATTTTTTTTCCTAGTATATAAAATCTAGTAAAGATGGTCGCCTGTCTCCATGATACATTTTATGATACTAAGGCAACCTTGTTATCAGAAGCAGATATTAAAGAAATTAGAGAATCAAGAAGTAAAATACACAATGCATCAAAAATAATGGCTAAAAAATTTCATATTGGCTCTAAACATATTTATGAAATATGAGACTATAAAGAATACCTTTAGCAAGGGGTTACTTTATTTCAATCTGTTTTGGAGAAGAATTCCCAAATTTATAAGAAGAAACAGATTCCTGAAGTAGTAGCAGAAGAAGTATCTACACCCCTTCTATCTACAAAGAATCCAAAAAAAAATGATCGAAAAGAGAAAGTTAAAATAGATGAGAAGCTGATTACTGAAGCAACTAGTATGGTGAAAAAAAATAACAAAAATAATATAGCCTCTTTCTCTGACAATTCGTCTGATATATCCAGAGAAGATAGGTTGAAATCTCTTCTTGAAAACTTAGTTAAATGTGGTGAAAAGCTTAAAAGCTTAATAGTTGATACTTTTGATATCTCTTTTATATAAGGATTTACATATGTTAGCAAGAAACTTTCCAGTATTTAAGACCAAATAGAGCCACTTCTCAAGCTTTGTACAGTTTATATATTTTTTTTTAAATCCTTCTCACCACTTGGATTAGAGGAATCGGTAGATACTTGGGCCGAATCATGTGAACCCTCTAGGACCTGCTCCTCTTTTGGCAGAAGCTTAGCTTTTGAGGTCTTGCTAAATGTTGAGATAGTGTAAGTCTTCCTATGTAACTTCATTCAAAATTGATTTTTATTAGAATCAAGAATACCTTGAACTTTTCAAATCCATGTCATACCTAAACATAACATTGGTTCGGGTTCACCATTATTAATATAAGCAAAATTTCCAGTAGCTGTAACAATCTAACTATTCTTGTCCTTTACACTAATTAGCACATTTGTATACTATTCCAAGGATTTGGATATATGTTTGAAATTACTCTTTATAGCAAAGTCAAAAGGTTTATCAGCTTTCCACCCCAGAGCATTAATTGTTGCATCATTTACTCTCCCAAATTCACTTGTGCTATCTAAAAAAAAATTAGTAATCAATAGATCATTTATATTACAATACAAGTATTGCAATGATAAAAACTACTTATTTAATTTTGATTCTTTCTCCTGAACTATATGAGACAGATATATTTTATACATTGCTAGTGAAAGTTTTGACAATAGCTCATTATATATTTCAGGCTGGCTGTATTTTGCTAGTATCTGTTTTTTTTTTCTGGTGGATAATACCCAGTCCATTTATTATTTTCTTCATCATAACTACCATTATTATCTTTCTCATTATCTGAAGCTGGAGGTGTGTATTGAGACTGTGTAGATGGAAGTTGAGGATAGTAACATGTAAAATTTGATTTAGCTACAGGTTTTTTGGATTGATTATCGAGTATCATCCTTCTGAATTAAGATATTATTTGACTGATTTCATCTACTTTCAATTCTATTCTATCCATTCTCATAGATTGGTTTTGTTAAGAGCAAGGTTTTTGAAAAGGTTTTATAGGATAATCTGAATCTAATTCATTCTTACTTATTAAACCTATTTTATTTAAGAATTTAGATATATAATAATTCTGGAGATCTTCTTCCGATTGCAATGATGGTAGAGGACCTCTTGGCTATCTAACTAGTTTGACAGTTTGTGAAGCTGGTGCTTGTGCTTTTTGAGCAACTGCTTGCTAGGTCATTTGTGATTGGAAATCGGCCTTTTGCTTTTCTAATAAAGATTGATATTCAATTTTTTGCTGTGCTAATGCTTCTTGAATCATCTTTTGTATATTGTTTTTAGTAAAAGCTGGTTGAGAAGCTAAAGCAACTAGTGGTAAAGAATAGGATACTGGATTTATACTAGGTAAGGCTTGTATTTGATTGGAAATTTGATTTAATTCCTCTGGGATCCTTCTACTCAAATTTTGTTCATACTCTAGCCACATATTTTTTAGCTTGGTAAAAAATACATTAATACCTGCTAGAATAGCTATTCTTATCTAGTGTAAAAATTACCCATTAAGTGGCTTTTAAGAAATCCTATAACTTGTATATCATTGTCTGCCACTCCTAATAATAGTGGCCAAACTCTAGCTTCATAAGTATCTGGAGTATTATAAGATTGGTATTTTTCTTGAATCAATCTTTGTATAGCCGATTGCTGATTTCCAACTGTCTTCTGTTAGTATTTTGCTCTTAACCAACCTCATAATATATCTGAAGTATTTATAGCTAGATTTCCTATTACAAGACTATTATTTGCCAGTACTGGAGCATATTTTCTACCCATTATAGATTTTAAAATATTACACTTGACTGTATCATTAAAATCTCCTGCATTTGCATTTTCAAGAACTGTTATATGCCCTTCAAGATATGCCCATGACTGAATAACTTTATCCAAGTATTTATCAGGTGGTTCTTGACCTATGTAGAGTTGAAATTTTGCAAAAGCGGGAGCTATTAATTTTAATACTAGTAAATGTCTAGCCTTAGCTATATTTATTTGATTAGATAGATTATTCTGTAGTGCAAAAATTTGTTAATTTAAAATTAAAATATTCTGGTGCTCTGCATGAGTTTTATTTTTCCATTTCTTATATCGTTCATATAACCTATCTTGATTATATTCTAGCAAATCTTTATTGGCTTTATATCGTTGTAGGTTGAGAGTATTTCAATGATACAATAACTGGAAAACAAAATTTTCACATAGCAATTCACCAATACAGATTTGCTTTCTTGCTATATTATTTATCATTCTGTTTACTTGATTGAGTATTTGGGGTAGAGTCAATAGAAAAGGGACAAATTTTTTCTAAGTAAAAGTTTTCTTGACTTTAAGCTTAAATATCTTGGTAATTATCTTATCAAATTTAACAAATATTTTTTTTATTTTAATTCTATATAATTTTAAATTTAAAATAAAAAAAATTTTAACAAATTTGATTAATTAGTTGTTGAGATATTTTAATTTCAAAATTAAAAAAAATTTACTAAAAATGATTTGTCCCTTTTCTATTAACTTCACCCCATTTGTCTGTAACTCATTATGCTCCTGTATTACTTGATCACGCTCCTGCATGTACATATCATGGTCCTATCGTTCGTTTACTAGATCTTGTTGTAGATTAGTATATTTTCAGCAAATTGCCCTTGTTGATCTTTTAATTTGATTTCTTAAAATAGTTATATATATTGTTGTATCATCTAGGAATCGGTTTATAGCATCGGCCAATTCAGCTATCATACCCATATCTAAATTTTGATCAAAATTATAAATATTTAAAGAATTTTCATCAGAGTCAGATTCATTTTCATTAAAATTCTATGCTTCTGCATTTTGTAAAGCCTCTTTAGTATTTATAAATTCTAATCTATCTCTATACCTTAATAATGTTAATGTGAAAATTTGACAAAGTAGTTCTGTAATACGATTTTTTTGCTGATTTATTTTACTAATCCTATTTATTTAATTAGTCCTTATTGTATTTATTTCTCATTTAAGCTATTCATTTTCATCTACTAATCTTGTTGTATAATCCTGTGCTTTAGATATGTTTCCAGCTGATTTAGATATTTCTTGTATTCTGGTTTTTAA